CCCCCCCCGGCCCCCCACCCATCACTGGGGCTGGAAGCCACCTACCCCATGCCCAGAAGGTACCTGGCACAGTGCCCCAGGATCTATAAGGACATCCTGAAGGCCAGAGAGGCCAGAAGGAGAGCTAAGACTCTAGTCGAGACCAGGGAGGGGGCAGCACTGCCATGCAGGTCAGCCACAGCCTAGCCTGTTTTTTGTTTTGTTTTTTTAAGATTTTAATTTTAAGTAATCACTACACTCAACATGGGGCTCAAACATACAACTCTGAGATCAAGAGTGACCTGCTCTACTGACTGAGCCAGCCAGGTGTCCCTATCGGAGCCGAGGCTTGGTGCCATGACAAGCCCTCTGCTTGGGAATCCTGAATCCCGCCCTGAACCCCCCATCCTCACTCCGGATCCTGATGGTCTGAGGTCTACTTAGAACCCAGAACACCAGTGTTCTTAGCACTTGGGGCTATGTGTGGGGACAGAAGGCTGGGTTCAGGCCTCAGGCCCCAGTGTCCTGGAGGCAGCAGCCACACAGAACTGACTAGAGGACCAGCCCACCATTGCCCTAGGCAGCCCCAGGCCAGAGTTCAGATCCCAGGAACCTCGGTCCTGGAGACTCCACACTTGGAACCCTCGGGCCCCCTCGGCCTGCCTCTCTTTCTTCTGATGCTGGCATCTGAACCCATCTCACCTCCAGCCCTGTCCATTCAGGTCCATGACAATGTGAACATCTCTCGTGCCCTCTTCCCCTGGATGAGTCTCTGCCCTAAGCCTCACTATCAGCACCTCTCCAAGGATCCCAGCTGGATGTGGAGATGCCAGCACCTCATCTCCAGAGTCACTCCAGAGTGCCCCCCTGGCTCTCAGCTAGGGTTGCCCTTTTCGGGCCTCCCACCCTGGGCAGGCTGGGACAGGCCCTCAGAGTGTGCTGAGTTGGCAGCTTGGACAAAGCACCCTTCTCTGCCTTAATATCCTTCCCTAGCAGCCAGCACTACCTCCAGGGAGACCACAGCCCATGGCATGGTCATGGCCAAAGTGCCCGAGTTCCTGTCTCCAGGTTCCCCATCCCCCCAGCAGGACCTACGCCTAGACCTTCACAGCCTGTCTGATACTCACAACCAGTCACTGCTGGATCTTGGGCTGGTTTGAGGTCCCAGAGAGGACATGGAATATCCTTCCCTAAATGGCTTCTGGTCTGGAAGGGACAAAATCCCCAAACATAGCCCCCACCTTATAGTTCCTGCAACAACTAAATATGAGCCACATAGTACTGGGACTCAAAAAAGGGGGGAGAGAGGCATCAAGGAAGTCTTCCTGGCAGAGGAGGTGATGGAGCCATTTCTGAAATTCCAGGAGTCCCAAAAGTGTGGAATAGCAAAGAATGCCTTAAGCAGAGGGCACAGCATGGGCAAAGGCTCTAAGGTGTGGTATGAGGCAGAATGAAGGTTCCATGGCTATAGACAAACCTGACAAAGCCTTGAAGGCCAGGTCAATGAGTCTGTACTTCAGTGTAGGGCAGGGCTAAGGGCTAAGCAGCCAGAGTGGAGTGCTAGCCTGGCATGTGGACTCTCAGCCATTCCCTGAGGCTGGCAGCCCATTTCTGACAGCTCCCATCCCTCAGGCCTACCACCTCCCAGGTTCCTTTGTATCAGGGAGTCAGGGTGGACTCAGGGAAATCTGCCAGCAGAATCTGACCCACTGTTGAGAAAGTCCACAGTAGACATTCGGAGTCTGAGTCCTGGCCTGGCCCTGCCTTACTGTGTGACCACGGGTAGAGTATTCCCCACTCAGGACCTCAGTGTCCTCCTGCCCTGCAGAGGTCCCCAGAAGTTTGGCAAAGCTGGGGACAGAGTGAGGATCCTCTCCAAGGCCTTTGTCCCAGACCATGCCATGGGCTTCCAGAGAGGGGTCAGGTTCTAGTGTGGGGCTGTCACTGCGACCTTGGGCAGATCATCAGAATAGCATCGGTCATGGGTGCAGAATGGACTAGGGCAGGAAATCGATGGCCTGGGCCACTGCCCTGGGCCCTGTTTGCTCTGCTGGGAGATAAGGGCTAGGAGAGGCCAGGAGCCACAGGGATAGTGCAGTAGGTAACGCTCGCCCACGCAGGCATCACAGGGTGAGAACTTGTCAGGCACACCTTGGCAGGTGTTGAGTTTGGCTAATTAAAGATTTCGAGGCCCAGGAATCCAGGCCACCACAGGCCCACTGCTTGCATCAGCTGCTGTAGGACACATACCTCTCTGTCCCAGGATTGAGGTCCTTGGAACCACCAGGGACTTGAGCCCTGCTTTCCTCCCTAATGCTCAGGGACATAAATGGGTCTGCAGTGGCAGGCTGGCTACAGGGAGGCATCCACACTGTTCTTCCCTCAGTCCTTCCTGGCCGTCTGTGCTGATCGAGGCACAGACCCCATAGAACTTGTTGCCATGGTCCCCAGGCTTCTGGTGCATGGGAAGTCCTAGCCTCAGCCCAGATCTCAGGGGAGAGGCAGCTGGTCTGGCCTGATGGTCTGTTGTGGTTATCCCTGGAGGCTCACGGATGAAGGCTGCTCTCAGTTCCAGCTCAGCCATCCTTAGTCCCCTCCTGGCTGAGACAAGGTGCCCCTCCTATCTTGGCACTCCCTGCCCACCTTCTTCTCCAGGCTTCAGAAGGAGAACATCATCTTAGGACAAGCTGTCAGTCAACAAGGAAACTAGATTCAATGGACATGTCTGAATTATATGTTCTCAAGGCACAGCCCCAGGGATTGGTGAGGAGATGATTGCTGAGGTCAGGGGGCTAGGGCTAGGGCATATGGAAGGGTGTTCTGAACAGGGGAGAATACTACAGCCCTGTGCACCCCCAGCCCTTCCTCCAGACGCACAACTCCAGATTTTGACCTTGGTAGATCCAGTACCCCTTCCACTGCTCCTTCATCGTCAACAACACTGGGCAAATGGCCACTGCAAGGTCAACACCTGGCTGGTACTGAGGGGGGTGGTATGCAGGAGAGAGCACATCCAAGGAAAGGAAGATGGCTCAGAACATTGATGTGTTGGCAACACCGATCCCTCATAGTTTAGCTCCTTGGCCCTGGTGTGTGGGGTCTGTGCTTCTGTGTTCTGGGCATCCGGAAGTGTCTAGGAGGATCTGAGGGGCCCAGCTGGGGCCGGAAGTTGGACTTTCCTGTGACAGGGTACATTTGCTAGACACCCAACAGATGCCTGGAGTTGGACCTTGCCCCAGACCCCTAGGCCTCCCCTCCCACCCAGCCCAGGACCCTCCTTGCTCCCCCAGTGAAGGCTGCAGCTGGAACCTCTTGGTCAAGACTGGGCCAGAGCCAGCAGCAGCCCCCTCCCCCCATTGCCAGCCCGCTGAGAGGGACGTGCAGCTGGAAGCCCAGCCAAGGCAAAGGACAGGACATCACGTGCCTGTGGCCCCCCAGGGGCAGGGGAGACCCCGAGCCAGCCAGCCCATCCTCCTCCCTGCTGACCCGGAATCCCCTGGAGGCGGCCAAATATTTGGACAGCCGGACTTCTGGCCCCAAGGAAAGCTGGAGCAGGGGCCTGGGGCAGCTCAGGACTCATTGGAGACCCCAGTGGAAGGGGGGAGGGGCTAAAGGCAAGGTTGGCCTGGAGGAGAGGCACCATTCAATGTCAGGCAGAAGCAGAGCGGCAGAGGGAGGGAAGAGAGGGGCAAGGAAAGAGGAAGGGCAGAAAACACATACATGCAGTGCATGGATACTGATCTGGACAGAAAAAGAGACAGAGAGGCACAGGGAGATAGAGAAATGCAGATGGATATAAAGGTACACCAACAGGAAAATACACACAGAGGAAGGTGGATACACATTCAGACAGGGAGACAGAGAGAGACAGACAACCAGAGAGCTGAGAGACAGCGATGGCCAACCAGCCAGAGATAGCTAAAT